AAACGACACTGAGATTCTGTCTTCAGAAAAAAAATAGCCATCATCAAGAAATAACAGCCGGGTGTTGTGGCGCATGCCTGTAATCCCAGCACTCGGGAGGCTGAGGTAGGAGGATTGCTGTGAGTTTGAGACCAGCCTCGGCTACATAGTGAGTTCCAGGTCAGTCTCAACTACATAGTGAGACACTGTCTCAAACAAACAAACAAACAAACAAACAAACAGAAAAGCCACAAACAAACAAACAAAAGAAATGAAATAACAAATGCTAGTGAGGCTGTGGAGAAAAAGGAACTTTCTACATGGCTGATAGGAATGTAAACTAGTAGGACTACTATGGAAATCTGAATGGAGATGCCTCAAAAAACTAAAAAGAGAAATTGTATTTGACCCAGCTGTTCTCCTTCTAGGTATCTTCTTGAAAGAGACAAAGACATCATATTACAGTGATATATGCATACCCATGTTTATAGTATCCAATTCATAATAGCTAAACCATGGAAGAGGCCTATATGTCTAACAGATCAATGAATAAAGAAAATCTATTTATACACAGTGCAACACAGTACTACTTTGCCATAAAGAAGGATTAACTTGAGACATCTGTGGGAAAATGGATGCACCTTGAGACCTTAATATTAAGTGAAATAATTACCAAGTGCACAGAAGCTTAAATATTGCCTGGTTCCTTTAAATGAGGAACCCAAAATATAAAAAGCAAGATAAAGATAATGGGAAATAGATCTTTTGCAATAGGGAAGGAGACCAGGAGATGGAGAGGAGGGGATGAAGAAAAGAACTAAGTAAGATGTGTTATGTGCTTATACCAACTCCCCATGAGGAATGTGATTATTATATACTACAAACATTTACTAATAAAAAATAACACCAGCTGAAAAGAGCATCAGTTTACTTACGAAAGCCCTCTGTATATAAATAATTGGGTCACACCCACAATTATGTCCCTAATATATATCCTTGTAATGTATTACCAGGCTTTTGATCATTACTGATGAGTCATGTGTTAACCTCTTATTCTTTGTATGTTAGTGTTTTCTGCAGTTGTCATTGAATACCACAGACAGATTTGCAAATAATAAAAGTTTACTTTGTTCATAGTTATGAAGGCTGGGAAGTTGAAGATCAGGTATCTGGCGTGGTCCTCCTTGCCCTTGGGGACTCTGCAGAGCTCTGAGGTGGTGTGGAGCCTCACGTGGTAAGGCAGTCTGTCCTAGCTCAGGTGTCGCCGCCACCTCTGATAAAGCCACAGTTCTATTGGATTAGGGTCTAACCCTTATGGTTTCATTTAACTACCTCCCAAGGGACCCAGATATCATAACTGGTTTGTTTCTACCTTCTAAATATCTCACAATGAGGATTAAATGTCAGCACGGTTTTTTGTGGGGATTTGCAGACAACATTGTTGAATGAGAGGTGAATTTATGGCTTTTCAATACAGGGAAACTTCATCTTGTTAGGACCTGTCTGAGACCTAGCAGTGATGTCTGGGAATAAGAAAATGGAGACTTTTAGGACTGGGAGTGTTGCCCAGGGCCAGAGCACATGCTCAGGGTGTAGCTCTGTCCTAGAGTGTGTGCTGGGCATTTGCAAGGTCCTGAGTTCAGGCCCCAGCCCCAGAAAACAAAAACAAAAACCAGCAGCCTGATCTTTTAGTTTGACAGATGAGGAGGCTAATGCCAAGAAGGAAAGTGACCTTTGCAGGGTAACGTGGCTGTTTAGTGTTCAAGCTGGAGTAGAATCCTGGTCTCTAATCATCCATCTTCCTGCTCACCCTTCGGGTCAGTATATAGGGTGTCCTGGGGAAGTTTGTCTTCTCTGACTCCTTTCTTTCTCTGCCTTTCCCTCACCCTCATGTTAAGCCACCTGTTCTATCAAGGCCTTTTTCCACTCTAAGATGTAGTCCACTCCATTGAACAGTAAAGTGCTGTCAGTCGGCAAAATTACTCAGCATCTTGTGCATGATTCTTAAAATAGCATGAGAGTGGAGTTGAGTAATACAAATGTTGGATAAATGTCCTCAAGTTTTGTTGAACTGAATGTGTGTTTTGAATAGTTTCGATGACAGTTGTTCGTTTCATGTCTTGCACAGTGTGTTTGGTGAAAACATTGTTAAAAGTCTCCCTAAGAACTTAGGCCACCAAGTAACATAGCTGAATATGACACTTGCTCCACTGAAAGATTTCAGATATTGATTTAAAATTGATAAACTGAAGATCTTTTGTTATAAAAAGCCATTGCTCTGCAGTTAGGTTACCCTTACACTTTTCAGCCATGTCCAAGTTTGGAGCTCTGTTTGAGGGGTTGAGCACCAGGCACACACAGCAGAGCTGTCTGCTCTCTGCCTGGAGCAGCCCGAGTTTGGGACCTCCGTAGCCCATAGTGCCACCAACCTCCTGAGTGACAGGATCTTTTCTTTTCTCCTCCAAGAGAAATATATATATATTTTTTAAAGCAGCACAGTGAAATGTAGACCCCCCCACACACACTTGAGAATTATTTCTTGGAAATCATGTGACTTTAGATCCATACTACACAGAAGCACCTGCTAATTATGTGTTTATTTACATGGAAAACAGGATGACTCTGTACTTCTGTGTCACTCATGAAGTAATTAATCCCTTTTGTAACATTATTTATTGGCTTAATTCCAAAGTCAAAACGGACTTCTGAAGCTAGCAGTACTCTGTTTTAAAATGGGAAAAGATATTGGTGAACATTGGTACTGCTTTGAGATGCAGCTGATTCCTTCATTGGTTTCAGGCTTTTTTAAAAAACTCCTTTCAGAACTGTGTTTTGAACCCAGTGCCCACACACTAGTAAACACTCTACCATTGAGCTATATTCCCAGCTCCTTTTAATTCTTATTTTAAACAGGGTCTTGCTAAATTGCCTAGATTGGCCTCGAAGTTGCAACTCTTCTGCCTCAGCCTCCCAATAGCTGGGATTACAGGCATGCACCACTGTATTCAGGAGCTCTGGTTCTGGTTTGGTTTTGCTTTTTTTTGAAGAATGATGAACAATATCTTGACCTTCAAAAAGGCGTAAAGTTGCTTTGAATCTTTATATGCTTCAAACTTCAGTAACTAGCTTTCTATAATAAATATGTACTTGTAAGTATTAATAATAAAAGTTTTCAATTGCTGGCTGTCTCTTTAAAAATAAATACAATTATTCTAGGGTCCTAATCCACATTCCCTTAAAAGGAGAGCAGGGCAGGATAGCAAAGCATGGTATGTTATGGTTCCATCAGGACACTGGTGAGGTACAGTATGTACCTGTTGTCTTCTGATGCTTATGAAAAGAAGGTCTGCTGACACGGGAATATATCAGGGCACTGTATTTGGAGAAAAGCCACAAGCCAGTGAACACCATGACCCGTTGGGCTTTTGAAGAAGAGACTAAGCATGTCCCCACATTTGTAAACATGGAAAGGATTGGTCCGTTGCAGAGGTGTCACAGTCCACAGCTGACTGGCAGGAGCCCAGGGGTTGCTGGTGATGATAGAGCCCCTCCTGCTGTGTTTCTGTGTGACTGGGGTCTCTGATGGTGAGGGCTCTTGTACGCACTGAGGACTGAAGTGAGGAAAGAGGCAGCATGTGGGTCTGAGATGGTCAGGGAGCCTTGGTGCCTGCTTGCCTGGTCTCTCCTATTACATGCTCCTAACAATCTATTTTTACCTCGTTTTCATGTAAGTCGAGAAAAGAAGTACACCTTCAACTTAAGAGATAAACATATAAGCTAGAAATGACCACATGTAGCTACTGGAGAGCGGGGTTTTTTGTGCTTGTTTTTCTTTTCTTTCTTGTGCTGAATTCAGGTCCCACTGGTGCAGTCGGGTAACTTAGTTAAAATATGTGGGACCTTTTTAGTTTTCCATTTTGTTGTGCGATGAGTAGTTATATATGTATTATTAGATGTGTGATTAGGGGTACTTTTGAAATCTTGTATGTATACCCTATATGCTCTTTTCCTTTTAAAATATGTAGCTAAGATAGAACACAACAGTTTGGATGAACGTTTTAATGATAAATAAAAGGTGCTGGACACTAGCAAGTACATAGCATGTATCCTCATACTTAGAATTTAAAATAGGTGACACTAATCCGTGGTGGTAGAAGTCAGGGTGGGGGTGCTTACTGTAAGAAGCACCTGGTGGGCTTTGGGGGCGCTCAGGTGTTCTTGTTGTAGACCTGGATGTGTGTTGTGCCTGGATGTGTGCCTAAGAATTGGGTGCTTTTCCATATAAATATTATAGAGTTGAAAATGGGAAGAAAGCAAAATTCTCCCCAACTAGATACATAATGTGATGGATGGATAGAAAATAACCTCCCTCTTCTTTTTTTCTCTTTATTCTCTTTCTTGTTCATCAGTTCCCTGCCTTTCTTTCCAAATTAGATCATAAATTCCCTAAGATCAGGGACCACTGTTTTCTCAGCAATTAGTCCATAATAAAACAAATTTCATTGAGTGAGTGACTATCTTGAATACTAAATTCTGTCTTCTGTAATGGTTGGGAGATGCTTGTCTATTGATTCTTTAAATGCTTAAAACATATTTTAGAGGATAAACTGAGGAGGGTATGTATTTCTAATGTCTTTTCCATTCTGATTTGGGGATAAGAATTGCTCTTTATCTTCATCTTGCCACTTGAGTATTTCTAAGCTGCTATTAACTTCCTGTATTGAACTCACTGAAGAGTTAGAAAAAACAAATTTTTTTCTTTCTTATTTATCTTTTTGGTACCTGGGATTGAACTCAGGACCCTGAGCTTTTGAGGCAGGTGCGGTGCCACTAAGCTAAGTTTCCAGCCCTTTTCCTTTCTACTTTTCATTGGTAGATAGCCATTAATTTTTAGAAACCTATCAACCTTTTACCCCCATGTGGGCTTCAAAGGAAAGGTGTGGGTGGTGGTGGATTATGTGTGCTTGGGTTTGCTGCGTGTGGAGTGAACTTTGCCTCCCTATCCTCTTGTGAACTTTCAGAGCCTTAGACAAACTGAATGGATTCCAGTTGGAGAATTTCACCTTGAAAGTTGCCTACATCCCTGATGAAGTGGCTGCCCAGCAGACCCCCTCGCAGCAGCCCCGCGGCCGCCGTGGTCTCGGGCAGAGAGGCTCATCGAGGCAGGGCTCCCCAGGCTCTGTGTCCAGGCAGAAACCATGTGACTTACCTCTGCGCCTGCTGGTTCCCACCCAGTTCGTTGGAGCCATTATAGGAAAAGAAGGTGCCACCATTCGGAACATCACCAAACAGACGCAGTCCAAGTGAGTAGCAGTGAGTATGTGATGGGCACTAATATCTTCTCCTTTGAATCTTAATCCAGAATGTACTGTTCTGGTACTTGGGCCCTCTGAACAGGGTTGGGAGCCCTTTTTTGTATAGTATATGAGTATATGAAAAAAAAAACCCAAACTGTGATTTGATATCTTAGTGTTCATTTGTATAAAACCTCAAAAGGAACCTCAAATTTTCACACATGAATGGAAAAGAAATGATACCTGATTCCCTTCAAGTGGGAAAAAGCCCTCGCAGACAAATGGGCAGCTTATAGGTCTCTCAGGGCCTCGCTCCCTACTTCCTGCCAGCCTTCAGTGCTGTCGGAAGTCTCTCTCTCTGTCAGTCCATTCTTCTGTGGCCTGGATGTTTTTTTCAGTCTTATTTCCTTCAGTAAAGATTTGCTCACCTTATGGTGTAAATTCATCCTGTGATTTAACCCATGTGGTTTATAATGGCTTTTTCTTCAGGATGATTTTGTTTAATCGTTTTTAGAATTAATTGCTTTCATTTTTGAGACAGGGTCTCATTGTGTAGTTCAGCATACTGGCCTTGAAGTCAGTATGTAGCCCCCAGGTGTGATCCTCCTGCCTCAACTGCCCAAGTGCTGGGCTTACAAGTGTGTACCACCATGCCTGGTTTATTTGATAGTTTTAACTGGCCAGTTTTAAGGTATTAGAAGATTTCTGTTCAAATGAAGGAGCCAACTTTTCTGGAGTAGAAAGTAGAAAATGTTTGTATTTACCACCGTAGCCCCAGTGCTAAGGCCATTGGCAGATGAGTTCAGTGGCTGTATGAGAACCGTGCTTGAACACTTTGTGTCTAAGATGCTTTCAGTCTGGAAGTTCCAGCACAGTATATGTCAATTGTTGTGCCTTCTAAACACACTTTTGTGCAGTAGATGAGCATTTTGACCCAAAGAAGCTTGGTTATGAGCTCTCTCCACCCTAGTCCTCTAACATGCTGCAAGTATGTATCTGGCGTGCCCATTTCCTGAAGATCCTGTGTACAAACAGTGTCATTCTGTGAGCTACAGAGATGATTGGATTATTTTATCTTTTAAATTTAGTAAAGAGAGGGTTTTATTTTCTAGCTGAGGAATTAAGCATGCTCTTTCTCTGAAAATAGAACTGTAGTGCTGTATGTACTTTGCTTATGTATTTGACCCTTGCTTATATTGGCCCATTGGGCTTAAGAGATATTCACATTCATCACGGCCACCTTACCTGCACTGAGCTGGCAGACTCCTTTTTCATGCAGAACTCAGAAGACTTGTATGTAATGGTGATCGCGTGCCCAGCCACCCCCACCCCTTCATGTCACCCTAGCCTAACTTTCCCTGCTTTGAAGCAGGAGACATCAGGTACTGGGTACCTATGTACAAAATTCATGGCCCTGACCTCACAAGGAAGCAGGTATTGAAATCAGTTTGTCTGACTTTAATCTTAAAAATTTAAAAGCTTCTTTTCCCCTTGATCCACCATTACCTGCAGAAATAGCATTTTTTTCCCTATTTTGACTTAGGGCAGATTCAAGTTGTTTCTTTTTGAGCTGCTCATTTCTTTGTCAGATGAAAGAGCTATGACTTAAATTGAGCTGTTTGTTTAACACAGGAAGTAGGGGTAGAGAAGAAGGGAAGTTATATTTGAGATTCGTTTGCGGAGCTCTGCCAATGGATCTAATTAACTCTTGGCATTGAAACTAATCATTATCAGAACCTTGGTTTCTGGAATGGTCTCAAGGGCCACCCTAATTTCCAAAGCAACATTCCCTTCTCATGGGATCAGAGTTTAGTAGAATTTAACACAGTGAAAGGGTGGAAATAGACAGAAGGAGGGACACAGTAATTTGTTACAAGGGATAAGTGCTAGTGATAGATTGAAGTGTTTGGGAAGATGGTTCTTGAGACTGAGACTTATCTAAGACACTAGGGGTGATTTTAAAGCTTTTTTTTTTTTTTAGTTCTAGACTTTGTTTCATTTCTACATTACTCTTATTTTTAGTTATGTTTTATTCTGAGACAAAACTTCAGTTTTCAACCAGACATTTAGGAAAACGAAATTCAAACTTTTATTTTATTGATGTGATAAATTATTCTCATGGCCATGAGTTATGCAGCTCTCAAAGACATCTACATCTAAGCTCTTTATTACACGCACACGCACACACACACACACACACACACACACACACACTCTCATACGCATACTCATTCACTCAGCAATTACGTAATTTCTCTAGTACACATTCAGGAGTGATTCTTTTTCTTACACTTTTTGTAAAACAATAAACTTATTTTGTATTTAATTCAAAATAGGCAAATTAAAAACTAGAAAGGTGTTAGTTCACCTTGAGTTAGTCATTGTTGACAATATATCTATAGAACTTGTTCCTTGCATTTGGTAACAAAGGTAGTTTTTTTCTTTGTTTTGATATGGAGTCTCACTATATTGCCCCAGTTGGCCTCAAATTCCTAGTTTGAAACAGACATCATGCCTCAGTCTCCTGAGTAGCTAAACTACAGGCATATGCCGTCATGCCTGGTAAATGTGCAACTTAAGGTAAAGAAGTCATTGGGCCGGGGATTTAGCTCAGTGGTTCTACCGCCTGCCTTGCAAGTGCAAGCACCCGAGTTTGATCCCTGGTACCTGCCCCCTCCCAAAGTCATTGTGATATGTTTTGCGTTTTTTTTCCACTTAAGGTCAAGGACTGCTTACTATGTTAGTACGTATAATTTAATCACTTTTTTAAAAGTAGCTGTTTGGTGATCCTGGGGATGTAGCTCATCAGTAGAGCACTTGCTGAGCACGTGCAAGGCCCTGTGTTAGATCTCTGCCAGAAAAAGAAAACTCCATAGCTGTACAATGTAGACACACTGTTATTTAACCATGCCTTTCTAATGAGCTTTTAAAACATTACAATTAATTTTGTCTATTAAAAATAGTGCTGCAGTAAATGTTATGTCAATGGCTCTCACCTGGGATGATCCCCAGTATCTGTAGGCATAATTGGTTGTTATAATTGGATGAAGGGTGTGGTACTAGCATCTAGTAGGTAGGGGCCAGAGATGTTGCTAAACATCCTACCATGCGTAGGATGTGTCATCCCCCCCCCCAAAAAAAAATAGAACTAAAATATCAGTAGTGCCAAGGGTGAGAAGTGCCACTCCTAGCCCACATATGAGGGACTGTCGTAGGAGATATTATGAGAAGTATAATTCTTAGGTTCGTGCACACTTTGGCAGTGCATTAACTAGAATTTTTGAGTCAAACGGTGGTAAGCATTTCACCTTTCTTGGGTTCTGCCAGTTTGCTGCAAGTTCCCCCGCAAGGGTGTGGGTATGTACCTTACCCTTCATCTCACCAACAGTTAGGTTTTTGTTTTTTGTTTTTGGGATACTGGGGATCGAACTTGAGCCCTTGCACTTGTGAGTCAGGTGGCAGAACCACTGAGCCAAATCCCCAGCCCACCAACACTTAGTTTTATCTCTGAATATTTGCAGATCTGGAAGAGAGTGACATCTTAACTGTCATGTACATTATTACTAGTGAACTGAACATCATTTGAGTCTGTTGCCCATTTACTTATTTTTGAAGCAGAATTGCCATCTCTTTTGGTTCCATATCATAACTATTTGTTGCACACCCTCCATCAGGGAGACAAAATAGGCACAGTGACACCTCTGTTCACCAACACTTTTGTTTGCAAACAATTTGGTTTGCAAACAAAAGCGTTCAGCAGAATTTTGCTTCTGTTCTCAAACTCTGCATCGGTTGCCAAACAACCACAACCATCTTTCCCACACAAACACAAACCAGCCATCTTCCCCAAAATTGTAAAAAAATTAGGTTCGTAAACCAAGGAACCTAGCAAAGCAAGGCCAGGTAAGTGAGATCTGCTCATATAGTGACCAGCGGCTGTTCTGTACAAACAAGGGCTTTAGCCTCAGTATACACTAAGCTCCTGTTTTAGCCCAGGGGAAAGCCTTTTGTCTGAATCCTAGGCTCTGTGGGGTGAGATATTTGTTCTGTAGCATCTAAAAGGAAGCTTTAAGCACACAGCTTGGGCAAAATGAGAAGATATCTCTGTTTAGTTGGACTGAGCAAAGAGAGGAGCATTTTCCTGGAATTAAAATTTATCTCTCAGTGATGACGGCTTGTGGAGAGTTTCTGCTCTGGAGGGAAATGAGCCATGCACTCTTCTCAGTAGTCGAGTGACTTTGCAGTTGTAATTATAGGCTCTAGTGAATACATACTAACAGTTCTGTTTTCCTCTCTGCTTGTGCGCATGACTACCAGAATCGATGTTCATCGTAAAGAGAATGCTGGGGCTGCTGAGAAGTCAATTACTATCCTCTCTACCCCTGAAGGCACCTCTGCAGCTTGTAAGTCTATTCTGGAGATTATGCATAAGGAAGCTCAAGATATAAAATTGTGAGTACAGAGGACTAATCTGCTGTCTTTTTTGGATTTCTATTATACATTTCTTGGGAATTGCCAATAAGCAAAGGGAATTGCAATCCTATGAGCTGCAGTAGTTGGCACTATTGATTTGGTTGTGAAGCATAAGTCTCTTAAGTGTTTAAATGTTTCATTTTCATCCACGTGTAGTTATGGATCAAGAGTTGATAATGGGGAAGAGAGTCCAGCTGTGGAAGAAGGCAGCTGGAGGACATAGGAAACCAACCTAGGATTTACTGGACAGGGGCCCCAGATCCAGAGTCATCCTTCACTGAGAGCCCAGTAGAGCTCTGTCCTCGTCCCCTGTGTGGCCCCAACCCTCAGCAGTGGCTGTGCAGATGAGGAAGTCAGTGTTCTGTGTTAGAGTAGACTGGACTTTCAGTGAAGTGTGTTAGGTGGAACTCTCTTTTTGTGGTGGTGGGGGGGTTGAATTTGGGATCTTGTGCTTGTGAGGCAAGCGCTGGAACCACTGAGCTAATCCCCAGCCCTGGAACGCTTAATATCTCTTGCATAGGATTTTGAGTGGAGGTTGGGTTCCATACCAATTTAATGTAGAAGAGCAGTGCACTGAAAGTGGAATCCAGAGTGAGCCTCTAGAGTTCTAGCCTGAGAACCTCATCACCAGTACTTCATTTGTAGAAACCTTTAAATATGTCCTAGTGATGGTGTTATAGATGAGTGCTGTATTATAAGAATGTAATTATTTTTTAGGATAGAGAAAATTCAAGGGAAAGCCCACCATCCAATAATGCCAGTGACATTTTAAAACGGTGATATGTGTCTGACTTAGAAATTCCAGAAGGTATAGAATGCAAAGTGAAAGCCTGCACTTCCTGCTCTTGTTCTTTCCCCCAAAGTGTAACTGCTGTTGATTTTCATTTCCTTCTGCAAATTGTGCATGTGCTGCAGACATGTACTTCTCAATTTTTACTGCGATTGCACTATTTTGCCTCTGTACATTACGTTCTGGTAGTAGGGGTTTAGGAATATAGATCTGAGTAAGAGAGTCTGTCTTAGAAGGTAGAATACTGTCTGAGGTGAATGAAAGAAAAACCATTTTAAAAATTAATTCCTCTTGCTGAGGTATTCACCCTATTTATGCACTCCTAGAATGCAAGCCAATTGTCAGCATGTACCTAACATAGCATTTCCCATATGGTAGGTAGGAAATGTTTAATGAATGAATACTATCTTTTTATCAAAGAGGAAGTTAACTTTTATGATCATTTTTTAATCTATAGCACAGAAGAAATCCCATTGAAGATTTTAGCCCATAATAACTTTGTAGGCCGTCTTATTGGTAAAGAAGGAAGAAACCTTAAAAAAATTGAGCAGGACACAGACACTAAAATCACAATATCTCCGTAAGTGCTGCCTTGCTTTTGGATTGGAAAACATTCGCACATTGTTTTTCTGCTGTATGCTTTACTGTGCTTCCACTTTTCTCTTCTTCCCAGCTGCTTCAGCTCGTTGTTACACTTAGATATCAATTCTCACTCGGTCTGTTGCCTACTACTTGTTCCTAACCCATATTGATAGCATTATCTGCTGTTATGAAAGAGGCAGGAATAACATTCTAGAAGAAATCTTGATGTTCTCTGACACTAATTCCCAAAGCCAAAATAACCAATATAGTTTATCATCCTTTGCAGTGTAGCAAGTTATTCTGGGGTTTGACAGCCAATGTATATTGCTAGCTAGTTTCTGTGGGTCAGGACTTGAGGGCCTGTGCTTCTGGCTCAGGGTCTCCTAATGCCACTCACTGCTGCTGGCTGTTGGGGAAGCTTCTGCTGCTCACCACCTGGGCCTCCAGAGCTGCTTGGGTGAGTGTTCTCAGGCAGCAGCTGTGTCTTCTCCCAGAGGGAGAGGTCCAAGACACAGCAGGGTGCAAGCTGCATCATGGCAGAGCCTCAGAAAACAGTCATTTTCCTAACGCTGCTTACCTGAGCCAGCCTTCTTCATTGTGTGAAGGGATGCAGTAAACTTGAAGAAAGGTTTCATCTTGGAGGCAGCTACCACACCAAGAGCCCACAAATGCTCTGCAGCTATATGGAAAGGTTTTTCTTTTTCTTGAGGGTGATTAACCTTAGATTCCATTAGAGTCCCCAGAAAGGTGAGAAGAGACTGAGGAACAGAAAAAGAATAATTGTAATACAAAATGCTAGGTAGGCAGGGCTGGGTTGAGATTGAAGATATGGGTTTCTTTAGTGTAAAATGAATAGACTTCACTTTCTTCATTATCTAGTTGTTTTACAGTTTTTGCAAGTTTGAGAAAGATTTAAGGAATAATACCCCATTTATTTGACTCAACATTTTGCCACTAGTGAAAATAATAATTTAACTCTAAGAATATAAAAGAAAGCTGTGCTGATATGGCTTGTCCTTTCAAAATATTTTCTAATCCTGTTCTCCATTGTGCTTCTTTCGCATTACTTTTCCTCCAGTGCTGTTCACCAGTTTAAGCTTAGATGTTCTCAGAATTGTTAGTAGATTTTGAAGCTTTGCCAGGATCTGGATCAAGCAGGAAATTTCAGTCATTTTTGTACTCTAAATGGTCATCGGTGGACCATTGTAAGAATGTAGTCAAGGTAGAGCTGGGTGTGGTAGCACACACCTGTATTCCCAGCTCTCTGGAAGGCTGAGGCAGGAGGATTGAAAATTCAAACCCATTTGGGCAGTTTAGCAACTGAAGGAGACCCTGTCTCAAAATGCTAAAGGTCTGGAGATGTATGTGGTTTATTGCAAAGGCTTGGGTTCAATCCTGTGCCATGAAAAAGAAAACACTTAGTTGAGGTGGATTGATTTATATTATTTTCCCCAGCCTACTTTAAATTCTAAAAATACACTAAGTTGAGACATAAGAATTCTGGATGCCCTTTTAGGAATTTTCCATGTGTTTTCCTTGCTTAGTGTCCCAGAAAATACAGTTGCATGAGTTTACACTAAAACTGTATACTCTACATCTGTACAACAACTGTACATCCTTCTAATCAGTCCATTTCAATTCTCTATTAAATTGTGAAAATGATTGACCTTTAAATGGTCACGAAGTAAGCTGTTTATAAGACATGAACTTAATTAACTATACACAGTAATGTTTGAGAGGGTGGAAGGGGAAATATTTTCTTCTCTTGCATTTTTACAATTTTTGGACTTCTATCTTTGGGGGCTTTCTCATTTCTTGTCATATTTGACCACTTACTTTTACATGTCCATTATAACAGAGTTTGGTTTTAACTGCCATCTGTGCTTGAATTATTGACTCTTCCTTCTGTAATTTCCATATTTTTCCTTCTCCTCTTTGTCAATCTGCAGATTGCAGGAGCTGACATTGTATAATCCGGAACGCACCATTACTGTTAAAGGCAGTGTTGAAACATGTGCCAAAGCTGAGGAAGAGATAATGAAGAAAATCAGGGAGTCTTATGAAAATGATATTGCTTCCATGAATGTTAGTTTTAAATGAAGGACATGTCTTTATTTTGATAAATAGTTAAAAGATGGTTTTTATTGTTTTAATGTTAATTTCTTTAGTGATGATGTCATGAGAAATCGTTTTAACAGATTTTTAGCACCGTGCAAAGTCCCTGGCATAGAAAAGATGACAGTGTTTGACACTAGTTTGTAGGCTGTGGTTTCCTTATCTGAGGAGAGGCCAGTATCTATCTACAAAAGTTAATATTGCCCTTATGGTAAATCAGTGTGGGCTTCAGAGGTATGTGAATTGGATTTGAATCTTAGCCCAATGACTGATGAGCTGTAGCTTTGTTCTTTTGGACAATTTACTCAGTTTCTCTGAGCTTTTTTCCTCATCTGTGAAATGGAGTTATAATTTATCTTGCATGCTTACTAGAACTATAGTAGCTATTAAAAATACAAGTTTAGGGCTGGGGATTTACCTCAGTGGTTCTGCCACCTGCTTCACAAGTGCAAGATCCCCAGTACTACCTCCCCACACCGCATACAAGCTTAGCGGCTGGAAGTGTAGCTCAGTGCTAAAGCACTTGTCTATCATGTGTGAGACCCTGGGTTTGATCCTTAGCACCACAAAATAAATACAAAATTAAAACATTAAGTTTAAAACTTACTTGGTTAAACATAAACTGTAGAGATAAAGATAATTTCAGACAATAGCCAGGTGTGGTTCCCTATAATCCCATTGCTCTGGAGGCTCAGGCAGGAGGATTGCCATGAGTTCGAGGCCGTCCTGGGCTATATAGTGAGCATAGTGAGTTCAGGGTCACCCTCAATTACATAGTGTGACCCATCTTAAAAAAAAGTCCGTCTTAAATTTTGAAATAAATGATTTGGTGAAGTTCTTTAGTGGAGCGTGTCATGAAACAGTAAACCTGACAGAAGGGAAATGTGAAAATACCACTTTTTGTGAGAAGAGCCTACAGTGCCAATCATTTTACCCCACATAATGGCCTGCTGGTCTTCACATTATCGCTGCTGCTTTAAATGTTTGTTTCAGAAGCAGCTGAGACTAAAACCAAACCCACAGACTTTTAAAAAGATTGTCAAGTACAGTCTTAATTCTATTCGCTAACTTTTAAATTCCTACAGTTTTGAAAAAATCCTTTCTCTGGCCCTGTATCCACTCCAAAGATCTGTTTAGTTGTAGTTGTTACGTGTGGGTAGGACCTGATTTCTAGTGAATTTGACTTTGGTTTAGGCCTCTAAGACCCACAAGTGCCTAGTTTTGCCAAAGAAGTAAAGATCTCTTCACAGCTGTTTTTGTGTCCGTGGTATAACTTTCAAAGAGCAAATCTCGTTTGCTTACTATTCAACTAAAGCATGATTTCCTTCCAGATGGGGTGATGGGGTGGTGGGGTGGCCAAGGTGCACAGTGCAGTTCTGTCCCAGCACTGAGCTGGTCCTGGGGAAATGAGGGGGTTCTCTGCCCTCAAGGCAGCGACAGACCAGCCCCACAGATTTAAAAATACCAAGAGATGTAAACTGTACTATAGTCACTTGGAACATCTGCTTTGTTCTAAAATTTGAATAGTGATCCACTTTTTAAATTCATTACTGAATACTGTCACTTAAAAATGCTCACTTTTCCTTGAGTCTTCTAATGTCAAATTAAAGGACCCTTTTACCATTGCAGCTTCAAGCACATTTAATTCCTGGCTTAAATCTGAATGCCTTGGGTCTGTTCCCACCCACTTCAGGGATGCCGCCTCCCACCTCAGGGCCCCCTTCGGCAATGACGCCTCCCTACCCACAGTTTGAGGTAAGATCACTTGGCATGGCTTTCTTTGTTATTGAAAGGAATTTGGTCAAGCTTTCAGTACCCCAGTTGTGTGACACTCAGTGCTATTGTGAAAAACCTTAAGGCTTTGTGCCCATCTGATCTTGCCTGAGGTTACATTCAGTGTGTTTTCTCCATTCTTGTCAGTAAAACCTTCCCATTTGACCCAAGTCAAAGTAGTAGACACAGTTATGTGTGTAGAAGATTTTAGGTGGTAGTTACCAACATTTCTAAATATAAGAAGATAAGTGAGACCCTGTCTCAAAAAGCAAAAAAAAGTTTTTGACATTGAAGGAGGGGAGGAGGAGAAGTTAATTATTTTCAAACATCAAAGGGAAGGATTTTATAAAGGCTTTCTTTATCACCTGAAAGTTAACTACTTTGAAAGATCAGACATGGTTTTCATTTTGGGTGTAGGTTTTTAGAGAGCTGAGATAGTTTTGCTCACAATTCTGTTTGTGTGTGTGTACATGTGCGCACACATGTATCTGCAAACACTGTAAATCTGTGTTATAAATCTTTGGTTTATATCTGTCCTTTGCAGGTATTTTCCCTAAGGTCAGAAATAAGAAACAAGGGGTAGTATAAAAATAATTGCAACACAGCAGACATCTGACACAAGAAATAATTTTGAAAGTAGTCATAATTCAGTTGCGTTATCAAATCAACACTAATTGGTGGTAGGCTCATTTAAAATAAAATCATCATTCTGGAATCTTCTGTCATGTGTTTGGTTGTACATCCCTATCTTTTTTTTTTTTTCGTACCAGGGATAGAACTCAGGACCTAGTGTTTGCAAGGCAGGTGGTGGCATCGCTGAGCTCAATCCCTGGCCCCGTCCTATCTTGTTTGACTTGTTTATATTTTGGTACTGGGGATCGAACTCAGAACCTTGTGCTTGTAAGGCAGGCAGTGGCACCACTGAACTAAATCCCCAGCCCTGACTCGTTTATATTTTGTTTTGTTTTTTTGAGACAGGGTCTCACTATGTGCTTAACACTGACCTGGAACTCACTATGTAGCCCACGCTGGTCTCGAACTCACAGCGATCCTCCTGCCTCAGCCTCCCGAGTGCTGGGATTACAGGCGTGCGCCATCACGCCCTGCTTAACTCGTTTATATTTTGAATGATACCTCCTATACTTATTGAGGGAAAATGACCAAGTGCAAAAAGTTGAGGATTCCATTATATCACTGCCTAGAATAATGTGTGCGTAAAAGCACACTGAAATTCTGCAGGGAACACTGGCCATTCACCCAGTCTCTCCCCTGCCTCCAGCATACTGTCTGTTTCTGTCTTTCTTTGTCTCTGTCTCTCTTAACTCAGTCTCTGTGTAGCTCAAGCTGATCTTGAATTTGCTGTGATCTTCCTGCTGAGTGCTAGGATTATAGATGTACGCCAGCATGCCTGCCTTATTAATCTCTTTAGGAATGAGAATTTCCTTTCCCTGTCCTGGAGTGCACCAGGCTGATAGGTGTTCTGAGTTCTTGCCCTTTTGGTGTTTCTGCCTTTACTGTCAGCAGCATCCGTGTCTTCTCCTGGCACTGCTATTTCTAAGTATGTTTGGGCTGGGAACCATGTAACTGATAGGAGGATAGCCACCAGTATTTTAATGAAATATAAGTCAAGCATAGTGGTGCGTGCTTGTCCCAGCTACTTGGGCGGCTGGGGCAGGAAGATCAGCATCAGTGCAGCCTGGGTCACATAGCAAGACCTTAAAAAAAAATCTCAAGTTGGAATCGATTCATTATGCCTTATCTCAAGCTTCCTCCACATAGCTAAAACCAATCTGGAGTAGCTGGAGCATTTGAACCTGGATGCTAAAGGAGTCTGGGGGAAGAGCCCAGAGTCAGAGCATAGATCTGTACCCAGCTCCTGCTATGAGTTGGTGTCAGTGAAGGACAACTCCTCTTGGCTCTGCTTTTTAATCTCTTCAGTGACAAATCTGATCTCTAAAGACTTTTTAGGTCAAATGTTTGTAATATCTATAGAATTTAATACTACAAAAATTAGGGGCAGAGGTAAAACCTAACGTAGGAATTTGAGAGTATATGTACTTAAATTCTGATATATCCCCTAGATTCTCTATTACAAGTGGACACATTTGTCATAGGGTTAGGTATAGGGCAGAAGTATCCATGGCACTTCTGTTACGGTGACATTTGTCAAAAGCCCCAGTGTGCTAACAGAGTAATGGAGCTCTGCTAGGGAAGTTCACATGGGTCCCATCCGCTGGCTGCTCTGTGCCTGGTCATTCGCTGCTCTGTACCCTCATTCCATGTCTGTAAGACGTTCCTTTAACTCTTTCTTCTCCCTCTGCTGGCGACACACTCTGGTCAGCAAAGCCTCTCATGTGACAGTGGTGGACTAAGCGGATTTCTGGACATCTTTCTCATTTATGTGGGTGCTTATGTAACAAAAATTCCTACAGTGAATAGTTAACTCTTTAAAATATAGAAATAAAAGATTTCAGGATTTAGTCAACTTTCTGATTCCATTGTATGGTTGTTTTATTCCTGTGTTAGAAAAATGAATATTTTAAGAGAAGTGAAATCCTATATTAAGAATTCATATTTCCGAAGTCTTTGTTGTTGTTTTTACTTTTTCTTTTATTCTGGTATATTTTAGATATACATAATGATAACATTCATGCTAGGGTATTTATACCTTTACATGATATATCGTGCTTCTTCCTTTCTTCCTATTCCTCTCCCCTCCCTTAAACCATTTTCCTCTCTTTATCTCTGAAAGCCTTCAGAAAGTCTTCCAGTCTTTTTTTCCTTGTCTCCTTTTTCTTGTCCCCTCCCCACTTCCTTGTTTCCCTTCTCCTTTGAACATTTTCTTCCCATTTCCCAATATCCATACATTTTGGTCCTTATTTATACTTTTGGTTTCTCATACAAGAGAAACCATATATTTACAATGTGTCTGATATATTTCACTTCAGAGCATGGTCTCAGTATGCACCCCCCCCCAAAGCATCCATTTAATAATGTCTTCAGTTTCTCCTTTATGGAAGAAAAGTACCCCATTGTATAAAAACCACATCTTTATCCATTCATCCATTGATGGGCATTTGGGCTGTTTCCAAGGTTTAGCGATTAAAAACTATGCTGCTATAAACATGGGTGCATATATATCACTGTGGTATGATGCTTTTAATTCTTTGGGGAAGATACCAAGAAGGGAAATAGCTGAGTCAAATGGAACCTTTAGCTTTAGTTTTTTGAGAATTCTCCACACTGATTTCCACAGTGGTTGCGTCAGCCTACACTCCTGCCAACAGTGGAAAAAGTGTTCCTTTTTCCCCACAGCCCCACAAGCATTTGTAATTGGTTAACAAATAACAAATTTGATAACAGCCATTCTTTCTGGAGCGAGGTGGAATCTCAGCATTGTTGTAATTTGCATCTCTCGATCACCCGTGATGTTGAACATTTTTTCATATGTTTATTTGCCATTTCTACTTTTTCATCTGAGAAATGCCTATTCATTTTAGTTGCCCATTTTTGGATTAGGTCTTTAAATTTGGGGGTCTGATTTTTTTGAGTGCTTTATATATTCTGGATGTTACTTCTTTGAGGAAGAGCTGTCCAAAAATTTTTCCCACAGTGTGAGTTGTCTTGTCACTCTGTTGGTGATTTCTTTTTCTGTGCACTTTTTAGTAAGATGAGATCTTAATTGTTAGATTCTCTGTAGTACCTTCCCTTGAGGTCTGGGTTTTGTTCATGAAGTCTTTGCCTACTCCTGAAGTGTTCTACCTATTCTCTCCTCCAACAGATTTAGTGTTTTGGTTTTAATATTTAGATTTTTGATCAACTTAGATTTTAGGTTAGTGAAATATATGGGTCTAGTTTCAATCTTTGGCATGTGAAGAGCCAGTTTTTCAAGCACCATTTATTAAAGAGTCTATCTTCTTGTGCTGGGGATGTAGTTCAGGGGCAGCACATCTGCCTGGCAAGCACAAGGTCCTGAGTTTCATCCTTGGTACAGCAAATAAAAGAAAGACAAAAAGAGCCTATCTTCTATTGAAGGTGTTTGGCTCCTTTGTAAAGATAAGGTTGCTGAATATGTTTGGAATTGTTTTTGCATCTTCTCATCTGTTCCACTGATCTTTGGTTCTGGTTTTATTTTTGTTTGTTTTGCCAGTACCATGCTCTTTTATCACTGTAGCCTTGTTACTACAAGGCTAGTAAGGAATTATATTTTAGGCAAGGAATTATGATGCCCCCTGCCTTGCCTTTGTTGTCCAGAATTGCTGCTGGTATTCTAGGTCTCTTTTGGGTCCAAATGAATTTTAGGATTGTTTTCTTGAATTCTGTGAGGTATACTGTTGGTATTTAGATCAGGATTGCATTAAAGCTGTAGAACAGTTTTGGAAGTATGGCCATTTTCACTATATTGGTGCTTCGTACCCAAGGATAGGGCTGTCTTTTTATTTTCTGATATCCTCTTCAATCTCCTTTTTCAGAGTACTGTAGTTTTCCATGTAAAGGTCTTTTACTCCCTTCTTTAGATTGATTCCTAGGTATTTCAATTTTTGGGATGCTATTGTGGAAGGTGTTTTTTCCTGATTTCTCTTTCAGTGAGTTTATTACCTGTGTACAGGAATGCTGTTGATTTTTGAGTGTTGACTTTGTATCTAGCTACTGAATTTGGTTATTAAATTTAAAAGTCTTTTGGTAGAATTTTTGGGATCTTCTAGTGTAGAGTATTATGTCGTCCACAAATATTGATAATTCAATTTCTCCCTTTCCTATATTCCTTTTCTTTCTCTTGTCTAATTGCTCTGGCTGATATTTCCAGAACTATATTGAATAAGAGTGGTGACAATAGACATCTTGTCTTTTTCTTGATTTTAGAGTAAAAGCCTTTGTTTTTTGTCCACTTATTATTATGATGATGGCTGTTGTTTTGTCTTAGCTTTTATCAGATTGAGATAAGGACCACCTATTCCAATTATCTGTAGGGTTTTTTTCAC